ACCAAAAGAAGATGTTTCTTTTTTTAACATGGATTTAATTTTATTTCTCAGAAGACAGATGATTCGGACCCAAAGAAGATGTGTCATATTTAAGATGGATTTATTTTTGTTGTTTTTCTCAGGAGACAGAAGCTTTGGACCAAATGAAGATGTTTCATTTTTAAGATGGATTTAATTTTGTGTTTGTCAGAAGACAGATGATTCGGACCAAAAGAAGATTCATATTTAAGATGGATTTATTTTTGTTGTTTTTCTCAGGAGACAGAAGCTTTGGACCAAATGAAGATGTTTCTTTTTTTAAGATGAATTTATTTTTGTTGTTTTTCTAAGAAGAGAGAAGTTTTGGACCAAAAGAAGATGTTTCTTTTTTAAAATGGATTTAATTTTGTTTCTCAGAAGACAGAAGATTTGGACCAAAAGAAGATAGTTGTTTTTAAGACATTTGCGTATTTTTTTGTTTTCCTGAGAAATGTTTTTGGTTTTCTTTCTATCTTTCAGGGTGAGGAAGAGGTGGAGGGTTGGGTGAAATATGAGCCGTCTCACGGACATGGTAAATATCAATTTAATTTGCATATTTTTTTGTTTTCCTGAGAAATGTTTTTTGTTTTCTGTTTATCTTTCAGGGTGAGGAAGAGGTGGAGGGTTGGGTGTAATATGAGCTGTCTCACGGACATGGTAAATATCAATTTATCTAATGATCGTAATGATTTGATGTAGTTCTCAGTTCCCACTTGATCTGAATTTCTAAACAATATTCCATTTTGTCAGGCATTTGTTTCTTTTCAGGAGTATGGAGGACAGGAGAAATCAAAATAAGATGTGAACAGATGAGGAAACAAAGGAAATAAGGAGGAGGGAGAGGAGAGGAGAGGAGGTGTGGGGCACAATGTCTTTTGAACATCTTGAAAAGGTAAGTATAATTTTATTTGCTTTAATGACATTTTATATAGTAGTCATGAACAAATCCTCTGTTTTTCAAAAACGGATACTGAGGTAAGTGGCACAGGTAAGTATGAATCCTTTGACAGGTAGAGTGAGGATAAGAGTTTTTTGTGTTGCTCAGAAGATTTGGACCAAAAGAAGATAGTTGTTTTTAAGACTGAATGCGAAGGCAAAAGACACTCCAGGCCCTCTCAGATGCACACAACAGCAAAATGTTTTATTGACATGCAGTAGTCAGCTACATGCAGGTTCAGTTTTTTTAGTAAATTGCTGCTTTCTTTAACCATCAGCTACATTATTTTTGTAAAGCAATACTATCGACATGCTACAGTATTATGTTTACACTGATCAGCCATCACAGATTAGTTTGACCATGTATGAAATTTTGTTTAATTTTTATTCCAACAAATATTAGTCATTGGGTGCCACACAGCTCCTCTGCCTCTGATAGCAGCCAAGCATAGGTGTTTCATTAAATGGCAATGGTACCTACATTAATGAGCCTTATATTTAGTTTAAAGGGGCAAGTTAGTAATACATTATGTCATAGGGAAGTCTGCTGAAGAAAGAAATGCCATAGATGTTGATTTTTTTTGTGTGTTGGTGATGTGTCATCATGATGTAAACAATGCCAACATGGGTTCAAATCTAAAAGCAGCTTTTGAAGCTATGTTCATGGCCAGAAGATGGCTTTTTGGAATGACAGTGAATGCTGTTGACACACCCAACATTAATCCAGCTTTTATTGATGTTGAAATTGGCTTTGATGTCACGCTCCTGCTCCTCTTGCTTCCTGTCATGCTTTTATTTTCACATCACTTCCTGTTTTGTTTCACCTCAGTTTTGGCCCTTTTATTTAATCATCATTAGTTCACCTGCTCCTTATTGTTTGCACCTGTTTTTCACTTCTATTTAGTAATCTGGCAGCGTCCTGGTGGGAGGACGCTGCCAGATTATTCTAGACCCCAGCTCTGACTCTCCAGCACTTATCCCTTGCCTGACTCTCTGTTTATGACCTAGAATTACCGTTTCTTGACCACCGTGTTTTGTCTATGCCCTCCCAGATTCTGATCGCCTGCTGTGTACCGACCTTCTGATTTTGTCCCCCTTGACCTCGAGTTTGGATCCCCTGGCTATACCTGTTAACCGGCGCCGACCCTGGACTGTCTTATCGACCTGAGTTATTTCCTGGACTTTTGTTAGTTGTTTTGTTTACTAGTAAAGAACTTTTCGCTACCTCAGTTCGTCTGGTTATTTAATTGAGTTCACCACAACCTCTGTTTGGCATCTGTACACGCCAAACCTGACATTTGATGCCACACTATGCTTTGTCATTTGACATCTTACCTGCCACAACCATCACATTTCACTGCCCTGATTTTTTTTAAAGGTCTTCATAGTCACTGTTGACATGAGGTTTGCTCTTGCATCCAATATTTTACTTGCTTCAGTTCGACTCTTTTTATATGAATGCTGGGACAGGCTCCCTTTCCAAGTTAATTGCCACTGGAGAATTATATACAATGCTGCCTGTATGTATGTAGTCCATGTGGTTGTGCTTTATTACCTTTGCAAGGAGTAATCTCAAGAGTAGAACCAGACAGCCAAGTACAATAGCATTGCTATTTTAATTTACAATCTGAGATGAGTGATTCCTTACTCCAGAGATTTTCAAAAAAACTTTCTAATAAGCACAAACTCATCTGCTTCAAGGTTTCACTCTGTAACTACTCCAATTCAATAAACATAGCATTGCATAGTCTAGAAAATGCAGAAGCATGCAGATGCAGAGCCCACAGTCAATATTTATAGCTACAAAACAATTAATGTTATGTATTTTCAAACACAAATATACACACAGGAATGGTATAGGTTGCATTTGGTTTCATTCTTGGTTTTTACTGTCACACTTTGACAAGCATCGTTGTTTTCTGCAGGGCAAGGGGCCCTAAACTGCTCCTCTCTGTTGGTTTTGATCAAATTAAAGCAGACCTCAAGCCTGCTGCCCTGTAAAAAAAAAAGAGCCCATATGTCAGTTGTGCCAGCAGCTGTCAGTTAGTAATGTGAACACCATAGAATAACTAAGAGCGTTTCTGCAAAAGAACACCCCTTCATCTTAATTTTAATCCATATCTAAATAATTTTCCCTTTGGAGGTGATCTTGTTTCATCTCTCTAGGAACTGATTTTGGGAACTCCCCACTTAACACAGGGCAGGACATTGTATAGAACAGTTAGTTGATCTGGTTTCTCTAAGTGACTGAAGATTAAACAGAGCACTCTCCAGGCACCATCTTAGCTTTCTGTGAAGTCTCTCTTAAGAGATAACAAACAAACCCACACTAAGAACAAACTGAGCTGATTCATGGGCCTACTGGAAATTGCTACATTGTATTACCCCCCCAAAAAACATTTCAGTGTGAGCATATACCTGCATGTGTGTTTTATTTTGAATACATATGGATATAGAAGATTTTCTCTCAATTTAATGGCTATGTTGTTCTCTAGTAGGGAATTGTGTTGTCAGCAAAATTCTTTAATTTTGTAAATAGAAAGCAACAGTAAGTTTTTTTTCTTTCAGACACAACTTTGTCGTCTTCTTCTTCTTTTGGCTGTTCCCGTTAGGGGTCGCCACAGCAAATCATCTGTTTCCACCTAACTCTATCCTCGGCATCCTCTACTCTCACCCCAATTAACTTCATGTCCTCTTTTAGCACATCCATATATCTCCTCTTTGGCCTTCCTCTTGACCTCTTGCCTGGCAGCTCCATCTCCAACATCCTTCTACCAATATAACCACTATCCCTCCTCTGCACATGTCCAAACCATCTCAATCTGGCCTCTCTGACCTTGTCCCCAAAACAGCCAACCTGAGCTGTCCCTCTGATGTGCTCATTCCTAATCCTGTCCATCCTGGTC